CAGTTTTACTTAACACATGTCGTCAAATGATTTTCTCGACTGACTCTTTGGTACAACAATAATCACTTTACTAAAAAGATTCGGTGCTAAACTAATCATGACCATCAAATGAATGCCTTTTTCTTTCACTTATTTTGCCAAAGAATTTTAAGGACTAACTAAAATACTTTAATTCGACTGATCACCCCCCTGCTCATTTTTATGACCAATATATATTGTCATTCATAAACTGCGGCAAATTTCAATTGTTAAATAGAATCAGGTAACAAATCTTAGTAACTACACCACTACATATTTTATCGTCAAAAGTAAGTAGATCGGAGTTGTTATTGTGATAAATTTATGGGGTTTTTTTTTATTTATTTATTTAATTATTTACTGCTTCTATGCATACTTTGACATTAAACTTGAACTAAATTTCAAGTTTATGCATATTTGATTGATAGAGGAAAAAAGTTTCTTGACGAGTTTGGAACTTTAGAGTTTTATCGTTTGTTAAAATTTTACCATCTTGCTGGATGAGTACATTGGTATGTGTTTAATGTGATGCCTTCAATGCCTGAAAATTTTTATAAAATAGATGGCCTGGAAAGGTATGACGAGACGTCCAAAATTCCAACAACTCAAAATTTAATAGAACACAATTTTTTTATAAAGATTTTTACAAATTACCTTTCAAAGTATAAAACTTTACATATTAAATTCACATTCTATCTTAAATACTTTTTCCTTCGCTCCATTTTTACTTATTCAAAAAAAAAAATGACTTTTCATCGTGCCGAGAAACAACGATTCAAACCATTTTCAATCTTCAATAAAAAAGCTATCGCTCCCGCCGACGTTACCATGCCGCAAAAAATTTCATATCTTTCGTTATTACAAGGAACACGATTTTTTCCAACTACAAAACCGATCATAGTCGCCAAAGATTCAGCAGCAAAAGTGAATGTAAAAGTGAATGAATCAAATGAATCACCTCGTCAACATCAAAAGAAACAGTTTCCCACCAAAGTCTTTCAGAAAGCCTTGAAAAAAATTACCAAAGTTTTTAAGCCGACAAAATTAGAGACCGAATCTAATACAATTCCTCCTTGTTCTTGTCAAGTAAAGACTCGTGTCAATACAGAAGTGAAACCGAATCATAGAAGGTTTGGAATTTATGTTTCACCAGAATGCGGCAACAAATTTGTACCTACCAGATTCGAACTCTCCAAAAATAGACAAAGAGCATGCATGGACGATAATGAGAATCCATATTTACCGACCCCTAAGCCTCTACCTGGTACCATTCATAAATTTCCAATCTCGGAATTAAAATTACTAAAGTTCCAGATTAATTACTATTGGGAATCACTATCCGTGTCACACAATATGGTAGTTCCAGATGGAATAACATTCATGAGTTTCTTGAGATATTGTCAACAAGAAGTCGAAATTAAGATTCCTAATGATTGTATCATATTGGCACATACAAAGAATTTTGAAGACAAAGATAGAAATTCTGTAGTCATCGAAAAAGAAGGTACTGAAGAAAAAATCGATTATAAAAGGAAAGCGATAGAATTGAAGAATTTATTTGAAAGGGATTCCTTGAAAATTATAGACAGTGAAGATATGTGGAAAATAACAATGAAAGAATGGAATAATCGGCAAGATAATAAACAAGATAATGTTATTGAAGTTACATTATTTTCGGCGGAAATGTTATAAAATACCACTGGAAATCTGAAGAGAAATTTGAAAAAAAATCTGAAAATGATAATAATTATTATTATTATTTTCTCTATTAATTCACACAAAATTTACACCAAAAAGCTTTCTGAATATCCTTAAAAAAAAAAATCTTTTTTTTTCATACACGCAATTACAAAGAAACACAAAAAAACTTGAAATTTCTTGGAACAAAATTTACTTCCAACAAAGCTTCCGGGTTTCTAAATGGCTTAGAGAGAGAGGAATTGTTCGCAAAAGGTGATTTGATATCACGGGGAATGCAAATTGATAAACTTTAATTTAATTTATACGTAACAAATTAAACATGTAAATATTTACTTTTTATTAATCTTAATGCGATAAAGGTGTGTGTGCGAAATTTAATGTAATTAGGTATAGTTAATATACATTATATATTTGATATTGTGTAATAATAATTTTACATGGTATCAGAGAATTAATACTTCTAACTAATTAATACATGATAGAGTGTAAAAAAAAAAGGATTATTCAAAATAGAACATTGTCAATAATGTATGTATATATATTTTAATTGAAAAAAATAAACAAAAAAAAATTGATGTGGGTATTCCCACGACTGAAAGAAGATAACATCAGTCAAGATTATATTACAAATATACACTATAATCATTACAATTATGTATAGTAGCAAGGTACAAAAGAGATATTATAATATACACACATATTTTTAACATATTGACTCATTCTTTTTACAATCATCACTATTCACCTCCTCTTTAATTATTCCCAAGTCACAATTCACGTCAAGAACGACTTTTTCATTAACGCTGCCATGTTGTTCAACACGTATAAATCTAGCTTCTTTAGATTCCGAATTTTGTAAATATTTGATTATTTTTATTTTTTTCACGTGTTGAACTTTGGTTTTCTTTTCAGATTTTTCAG